AATTTTAAGATGTGTGTCTGTTGGATTTTAGACACGAGCACTAGTTTATTTTAGGAAAGTTGCCTAAAATGCTTTATGTGCTAAATGTTATATGTTGCCATATATGATATTATTTGTTCGGATCTACGGTCTGTTGCCAACCGGATCTAGAAACCTTATGTGTGTAGGATTCTAAGCGTGCGTCTACGTTATTAGAACTAGCATGTAAACGTTTCGGAGTAATAAGGATGATTTGAATATCTATCGTGACTAAGGATCTAATTTCACCTTATTCGGTGTGTAGATCAAAATGGTGAGAACAAGGAGTGACGTTGGAAATGCGGATGAAAACAGGAATCAACCACCAGTGATTGAGCAGATACTTGTTGTAGCAGCAGCACCAGAACGAATAACAATGGCTGCGGTGCAAGCCATGATTCGGGCTATGCTAGCCGAACAAAGGGAGGAGATGCGACAAATGTTGCATAATAATAGGGATGAACCTATCATACCTATTGAGGAACCTGAATTGATTCCCGAGCAATCGGAGGAAGGGAACGATAGTCGCATGATGAGTCAAGTTGGGACTCAAGGGGAACGAAGGAACGATCCAGAAAGGAGAAACAACAAGGATGGGCGAATGTACAAGAACTTCTTGGGCGCCAAACCGCCAAGTCTTTCTGGGAGCCCAAGCCTGTTGAGATAATGGATTGGATCTCCGAGATGGAGATGGTATTTGAAATTTGCAACTGTAGCAACAAACAGAAGACCATCTTTGCGGTTAGACAACTGAAGACTGGAGTCTTGAGTTGGTGGAAGTTGTTGGCAGATACTATGCACGAGGAGAAGCCCTGAAAATGTCATGGGAGGAGTTCATGGAACAACTAAGGTGCAATATTGTTCAGAGATAGATATGATTATGCTGATCTGAACAATGAGTTCCAAAACTTGAAGAAGGGGAAGATGGCATAGATGACTATGCTACTGCATTTATTGAGAAAATGAAGTTGTTTCCGTACCTAGTGCCAACAGAACTCTCGAAGATTGAGAGATTTGCTAATGGACTGCCTGCCGACTTTGGTCCGACAGTCAAGATGGCAACCACTCTGAAAACGGTTGTTCATGCAGCTAAGAATGTGGAGGCCCAGCAGAAGGAAAAGGGTCTGGAAAGGATAGATGTTGGTGAAAAGAGGAAGTTCGATGGTACTTCAGGGTCCAACAAGAAAAACAAGTTCTCGAAGTCTGGTTTGAGGGGAGGTGGAAGTGAGGCGAAATGGTGCGACAAATGTAAGAAGAAGCATCATGGAAAATGTGAGGTGGCGAACACATGCTACAAGTGTGGAAAGCCAGGGCATTATGCCAATGAATGTACCCTCACTAAGAAGGTTTGCTATGGTTGTGGTGAGGAGGGACACATGTCGAGGGACTGCCCAAAGAAGAGGGAGGCAGCTAGACCCAACATTCCGCCAAAGCCAAAGGCGAGAGCATTCCAGATGACACTGGAAGCTGCTAAAGATGAAGATGATGTCGCTTCAGGTACCTTTCTCGTTAACAAATTGCCTGCCCAAATTTTATTTGATTCTGGAGCCAACTACTCCTTTATATCGCATGGATTTAGTAGAAAGCTAGCTTTGCCTGTTGATAGACTAGATAATGCCTTATTAGTCGAAGTTGCTAGTGGCAAGTTTGTACCTGTTAGCTACCGCATGAAAAACATCTTAATTGATCTGAATGGGAATAAGTTCCACAAGGAATTATTGCCTATCGAATTTAATGGTTTCGACATCGTTTTGGGAATGGATTGGCTTAGCACCAATGACGCCGAAATTTTATGCAAGAAGAAAATAGTCAAAGTAAACCCGCCTGGAAAAGAGTCGTTTATGGTGTATGGAGACAAACACAGAGTAAATTCTGGAATCATTTCATTAATGAAAGCCAGAAAATGTTTGACCAAGGGGTGTACATCATATTTAGCATTCGTGATTGATGCTAAGAAGGAAAAGAAGGTGATGCAGAATATTCCAGTGGTGTGTGATTATCCGGAAGTATTTCCCGAAGATCTTCCCGGATTACCGCCTGATCGACAATTGCAATTCTGTATTGACTTGTTGCCAGGAACGACGCCAATTGCGAAAGCACCTTACCGATTAGCACCGACGGAGATGAAGGAGCTAATGATGCAACTTCAGGAGTTATTGGACAAGGGTTTCATTAGACCTAGTTCATCACCCTGGGGAGCTCCGGTGTTATTTGTGAAGAAGAAAGATGGAAGTATGAGAATGTGCATTGATTACCGAGAGCTGAACAAGGCAACAATAAAGAATAGATATCCGTTGCCAAGGATTGATGACCTGTTTGATCAATTGCAAGGTTCGAGCTATTTCTCGAAGATCGATCTAAGGTCAGGATATCATCAGCTAAAAGTAAGAGAGCAAGATATCGAGAAAACTGCATTCAGAACTAGATATGGACACTACGAGTTCTTGGTTATGTCGTTTGGACTAACCAATGCCCCGACGACATTCATGGGTTTAATGAATAGGGTTTGTAATCCTTTTCTTGATAAATCCGTGATAGTGTTCATAGACGAGATTCTGATTTACTCGAAAAGCCAGGAGGAGCATGGCAGACACTTGCGAGAAGTGCTGGAAGTCTTGAAGAAGGAGAAGCTGTGTGCTAAGTTCTCCAAATGTGATTTTAGGATTCGTGAAGTCCAATTCTTGGGTCACGTGGTCAACCAAGAAGGGATAATGGTTGATCCAGCAAAGATTGAAGCTGTAACGAAGTGGGAACAACCGAAAAGTCCCACGGAGATTCGAAGCTTTTTAGGATTAGCCGGATATTACCGAAGGTTTATCCAAGGCTTTTATTCGATCGCTACTCTGTTGACAGAATTGACCCACAAAGGAGCTAGTTATGCTTGGGATGATAAGCATAAAGAAGCATTCGAGAAGCTAAAGAAGAAGCTATGCGAGGCACAGATACTTTCTCTACCCGATGGAGTTGAAGACTTTGCTGTTTATAGCGATGCGTCTGGGGTTGGATTGGGTTGTGTTCTGACCCAAAGAGAAAAGGTGACAGCATATGCGTCTCGATAGCTGAAAGAGCATGAAAAGAACTACCCAACTCATGATTTGGAGTTGGTAGCGGTAGTTTTCGCTCTGAAAATATGGAGGCATTACCTCTATGGCACGAAGTGCAAAATTTTCACTTATCATAAGAGTCTCAAATATCTCTTTAATCAGAAGGAATTAAATATGAGGCAACGACGCTGGGTAGAATTACTTAAAGACTACGACTGCGAGATACTTTACCACCCCGGTA